CATCGATTATAAAGAGACGTTCAGCCCGGTTGTCAAGCAGCAAACCATTCGTCTGGTACTCACTCTTGCTCTACACTATGATTGGCCTCTTCATCAGCTTGATGTTACCAATGCCTTTCTCCATGGTACACTCGATGAGGATATTTATATGTCTCAACCACCGGGCTACGTCAATCCCAATAGGCCTGAGTTTGTTTGCAAGCTGCGCAAATCTCTGTATGGCCTTAAACAGGCTCCTCGTGCTTGGTACACTTGTTTTGCTACTTTTTTGCAGGGACTTGGCTTCCAGTGTTGTCGTTATGACACCAGTCTGTTCACTTTTCACAGCTCCTGCGGCATGGTCATTGTTCTCCTATATGTTGATGACATCATTATTACAGGGAGCTCCTCTGACCCCATCTCTGCTGTTACTCAGGCTATGCATAAAAATTTTCGCCTCAAAGACTTGGGCCCCCTGGATTTCTTCTTGGCATTGAGGTTCGTCGCTCTGCGGATTCTATCTTGCTTCATCAGACAAAATACATATTTGATCTTCTTCAGCAGGCTGGCATGACTGATTGCAAACCCACTATCACTCCGATGGCGGCGCGGCCAACCCAGGAGATCTCGGCCACCTTCTCCGACCCAAAATTGTTCCGTAGCCTTGTGGGTGGTCTACACTATCTTGCGGTGACTCGCCCTGATATTCAGTATGCTGTAAATCGAGTTTCTCAGACCATGCATAATCCAACAGAGAAGGATTACTTGGCCCTTAAACGTATTCTTCGCTACTTGAAGGGTACTTCTTCTCATGGCGTTCTGTTCAGAAAAGGCTCTCTTGATCTTGCTGTTTATTCTGACTCTGACTGGGCTAACGACAAAGATGATCGTCGTTCCACCACTGGGTATCTCCTTATGCTGGGGCCGAATCTTATCTCATGGTGCACAAAAAAACAGACTCGCGTCTCGCGCTTCTCCACCGAAGCTGAGTATCGCGCTATGGCCGCGGGGGTGGCAGAGGCGATGTGGCTTCGTTATATTATGGATTCTCTGCATGTTCCGCCTACGAAACCTAAGATTTATTGTGATAATGAGTCCACAATCTGTGTCACCAAGAATCCCGTTCTCCATGATCGCATGAAGCATGTTGGCTCTGACTGTCACTTTGTTCGAGACGAGGTTATGGCTGGCACTATGACTACACATCATGTTCCTTCTTCTGAGCAGCTTGCTGACATCTTGACAAAACCGCTTCCGCCGACTCCGTTCCATTATTTGTGTTCCAAGCTGCCCCTCGTATCCGTTGATCAGCTTGCGGGGGATAATAGGAAGACTCCTAATATTATTTAGTTTCCTTATTCTTGTATTACCATAATTACTTTATTCCTTTCCTACTAGGAATAGGACACTCTCTTGTAATCCCTATATATAGGAACATATCTCTCAATATTCAATAAGACAAAATTATTATCAAATTGTATCAGATTTGAATCAGGATACTCGAAATCACATGTAGCAGATGAACCAGATGCTTTTATTCTCGACCTAAGAACAACAGGATTCTAATAAGCATTATCACAAACACCTAAGTTTATATCATTTCCTCCAATTTCCTTAAGTTATAGTAGATCAAAGAATCTTGTCTCAGCTCTTCTTTCTCCAAATGTATGATTACACTTCATGATTAAGAGGCTCAATGCTTCAAAAAAAATGTTCTTTTTTCAATTTCAAGTCAACCAAGAACAAAATTCATGAAGCAACGGAAGCCAATCTAACTGTGAGTACCAAGAACAAGTGATTGGACAAGAACAGAGAACCCATGTCCAGAAAATTGCAAAAATCAAAGATGCCCATCACAGAGAGATCTAATATCAGCTCATAAAGAGAACCAAGGGTAGTGGAAAATATAGTATATACTCCAAATTTAAGACAATAGATGGCATGTCACCTTATTGGTTCTTGGTGCTGCCTTGCTGGATAGATGAGATGAAGGTTCCTGCCATGTGAGGAAGAAGAAGATGAAGAAGAAATGTTTGGCCCAGACAAACTGTACAGGAATACGAACTGGAGTAAAATACTCCTCAACCCATCCTCAAGAACAACTGAACAACGACAACAAGAATAAAAAAGAAGAGGAAATTGGGGAGAAACATCAGGCCGATTGAAAAAATGCCGCCGGGTAGGTTAGTTGGTCCTCAAGTCAAGAAATTTACGCAGTGTTTGGTTGGAGGTAGATGGAGGTAGGGTGAGGTGAGATTTAGAGGCTACCTTGTTTGGGGAATCAATCGGAGAAGGTAGCCGAAGGTAGGGGGAGGTAGCTTAGCCGCGGAACAGTGATAAAAATCCGCCCGCCGATTCTCCGGTAACTCAAGGTAGGTTTTGCGTTTCCCTTCCCTGTCCTCCTCTTCTTCTTCTTCTTCTTCTTCTTCTATCTCCTCCTCCTCCTCCTCCTCGGATTACACTTCTTCCGTTTTGCGACTGACTTCCGGGATTTCGCAGGGGTTGTTTCTCCTTCTCAGATTTCTTTTGCTTTCAATCTCTTTCTTTTTTTGCTTTCAATCTTTTTCGTTTTCTTTTTTTTTGTTTTTTTTGTTTATGGTTTTCTATTTTTTAAGCTTATGTTTTTATTGTTTTCTTTGGTTTTACTTTTCATTTTTTCTGTTTTTCAAATTTATTTTTTAATCCTTTTCAATTTTTTTTCCATTTTTTTCAGTTTTCAATTTCATTGTTTTAAAATGTATTTTTTTTATATTTTTGTAATTGATGGCCACTAGAGAAGGAAAGAACCAAATTACTTAGGGGTATTTAGGTAATTTTTTGTGTTCCTTATCTTACATTATCTACTAAATATCCAAACACAATTTTTCAATTTCTTACCTTACTCTACCTACCTTACATTACCTACCTTCAATTACCTACCTAATAAAACTTTGCCTACCCCCTACCAAACACAGCGTTAAGTCCAACTTCTCTTGATCTTTACATTCGCAATCAAACACTCCACAAATATCCTCCTACCCAAACCTAAAATATTTTCATTTTTACACATCATCCAATACACTTTTTAATATATTTTATCTTATAATTTGTATATTAAAAAATTATAGAAATTATATATTAATAATCTATATGTTAAGACAAATCAAACAAGATCACACATGACTATATTTAGACTTACACATTGAAAAAATTTGATGAATCAAAGTGCTTAGACGAACACACCAGTTTCACACATGTATAAAAAAGTTACTACTATTATCTCTGAACATTTGTTTAGTTTCGATTTTTTGCAGTCAAAGTTGATAAATTTGAACCGCTAATTCAATAAAAATTGATTTTATGAAAATGATGTATTGTAGCTGTTACAATTAGAACAACTACAATACAGGGTATTAAGGGAAATTATTAAGAACTATCAATTTTATAAAAATGGTGTATTGTAGTTGTTCCAATTAGAATCAGTATCATCATCTCATCAAGTATCATTAGAATTAGGGTGTTTTGATTTAATCGTTTATATTTGGGTATAATGCCCACGCCCTCTAGTTCTATGTGATTGTAAAATCTAATCTTTAGGAAAATTACTCTATATTTGGTACAAACAAAAACTATATAGTCACTGGAATCTAGTGGCTACGGAAGCCACTGCTCCCTACAGAGTTCCGTTCATGAAATTGATGATTCCTACCCCCTAACCCCCGGTAAATCCCTCCGCCAAGTCTTGACCCAAATTACTCCCCCCACTTACGTCAATTGCACATCGTAAGTATAATTTTGACTTTTTACTTACGAGGTGCAATTGATGTAAGTGGGAGAAGTAGTTTGGGTCAAGACTTGGTGGGAGATTTACCGGAGAGATTAAGGCGGATAAGAATCATCAATTTCATAAACCGAGCTCCGTAAGGAAGCAATTACTTCCGTAGCAACTGGATTCAAGTGGCTATGAAACCGGACTCATAGGTTCATAATTTGTTTACTCCGTATTTGCTTAGGGCCTTTTTTATTCAAACGTGTAACGGTGCAAGTGGGTGAAGACCCGAAGACTAGCAGGCCCGTTTGAGTTGCCAGAATAACAGATGGGCCGTGTGTTGTGTCACGTCCAAATTCGGCCACTTCAATCCTCCAGGAGAGTCTGACCACCATCTGATGCAAGCTGAGGCCACCGCGGCGCCGTGCATCTCCTCCGTCTTTCCGGCAAGTTTTCCGATTCTCTGTCTATCTTATTAATTGCTTCGCTAAAAACGTAAACTCTGCGTGTGAGGAATCATCATTTTTTTCTTTCCGAATCTTCTGTGATTAATGATCGGAAGTTAATCGGCGAGAAGTGGTTGAAGGCGGCGAACGCCCAGCAATCGGATTCGAGAATTTAGGATAGTGAATCATCTCCGTTACGGATCGGATCAAAGTGTTCTTTTGATTTTCAGATGTGATACTGTTGCGCTAGTCAACGTTTGTTTAGATTTTTATATAGTTTGAACCAGATACTTCCTATGCCCCTAATCAATTTGTTCAATGTGACTTCACTTCAGGTAGATTAAGAACACTGTTGAAAATATGTTATATAGTGAAAGTCCAGTCGTTAGAATTTGTTTAAACCTGAGAAATATTTAAGACCAAAGAGAAAGGGAAAAAGTGCAAAAATAATCTAAGGATTGTTTTTCGTATCAGTAGAAGCTGAGAAAAAAATAGCTATTGTTTGAAATTCAAAACAAGGTTGGAAGTTTAAGCGGCAAGGGGTGAAGATGAAGCTTGCAAAAATGAAAATTACCTTAAATTGGATTCGGAAGAAGAGCATGGTCAGATAAAAGGAAGCAACATGGCACGTGCAGCCAAAGGGAAGCTTATATTCTCTAGGGTATGTTCATTGTTGAATGGTTTTATGTCATAAAGTAGAATGTTATTTGTGCTCTCACGTGTTTTAATAAAAATAATAAACCGCCCAACGTTGGCATACTCCATATCAATCAGTTTTTTGTACAATATCTGTCCCAAAATAATGTTTTGATTTGACTTCAAAAGAAAAACATGAAGTTTTAAATTAAAATTATTATTATTATACTTCTCAAATTCCCAATAAATATAGAATGTAGACACAACTGCATAGCCATCCATATCCCGACCTCCTGATTATGTATTTGAACAAAGTACCTCCTAAATCGTGTAACACACAAATTTAAAACCATTTAGCCAATCACTTCTACGTCATAATGGGTCAACCCCTTTACAGAATAGAACTTAAAATCTGCCCAAAGAAGCAAAATAATAATCAAGCAAATAAACCAAATTCAAAGATAGTAACCAATTACTAAAATAATACCACAATTGGGTAACTTGTTTCTAAGTCACCAGATTTCAATATGTGGTTCCTCTTATTTGATTTTTTTTAAAAGAAGAACATTCTTCGAGCAAGAAACTTACCAACAATACATCATCAAACCAATTTACCAAGAAAATAAAGGTAAAGTAAAAAGGTACAGAAATGTGTCAGTTCATATACTTGAAAAGAGTGAAGTGAAGAAGTTGTAGGCATACTTGTTACAGCGTCGCCAAGGGGACAGACGACTCACCATGTGGCGGCGATAAGGCGATGCCAAATTTGATTAGGCGTTAAAAAATGCTTTACAACTAAACCCTAGGCTGCAGAGATAGAAATCAATAACACAATTACACACCTTATCTCTCGATCTGGCCTTCTTCTCGACTCTGTGACTTC